CTGCAGCAGGAGTAGGACCCTGCACAGGAGCAGGACCCTGCACAGGAGCAGGACCCTGCACAGGAGCAGGACCCTGCACAGGAGTAGGACCCTGCACAGGAGTAGGACCCTGCACAGGAGCAGGACCCTGCACAGGAGGACCCTGCAGCGGGAGTAGGACCCTGCACAGGAGTAGGACCCTGCAGCGGGAGTAGGACCCTGCACAGGAGTAGGACCCTGCACAGGAGCAGGACCCTGCACAAAAGGGAGCAGGAGCCTGCAGAGAAAGCTGGACCCTGCAGGTGTTCTTACCTCTTTTTGGTTTGGGGAAGCTTTCATGCAGGTGAAAAATCACTTTCTCCACAAAGTGCTGGATGTTGCTGTGCTCCGGGCCTCGGACAAACACCATCCAGTCGTGGGTGAAGCCTTCCACCGTGGGTTTCTTTCGGACCTGGGCCCGGTGTCCCAGCTCCAGTTTCACCTGAACAGCACCCTGCGGGGACCAAAGAGTCCGGAGTCAGTCCGCTGCAGAGCATGGATCTAAACTGATCCTTCAGTTCACTTTGAATTAAAGGAGGACATTAAACAGCTGCAAACATCTGGTTTAATGTGAGGATTCACGTTAGGTTAAAACGCGCCTCTCTCCAAAACATTACTATTGAAGAATTAAATTATGTTTAAATAAAAAAAGACCACCAAAGCAGAGTGACATTTATTTTACCTGACGTCTTGTGTCGTAAAAATAATTGCATGAACTTTTCAGCCAAATTCATTATAAATGAAAACATCTATTTATATTTAGGCTGTCGTTAATCTCCAGTATTAACTCAGATTATTAGGAGCACGGACAGACCCGACCGTGCGGCTTCAAAATCCTCCTCACCGGAGAAAAAGCACCGACTCACCGGCCCGGTGTTACCCGCTCCTCAGAGCCCTCCGACCGGCTACTCACCGAGGCGGCCATCCCTGAGGCCTCGCGTCGTTGTTATTTCATGGAGAATGAGTTCTGAACGGGATTAAAGGTGAGTACTGGTTCCTTCTGACGGCGGACATGGTCTCTCCTGGACTCAAGTCAAACTGAAGACTTTCAACAGCTCGCCGGCGGTCAAGCTTCCGTGTTTATTAAAACTACTTCCTGTGTGGTACTTTCAAAATAGATTCACCACTGCTGAATCTAATTAGTATAAAGCCACAAAAAATATATATATATACAGTTTTAGAAGTATTGGGCGAAAGTTAAGAACAAACTGTAACATTCTGTAACGTTGTACTATGTAGGCCTACAGGCATTCTATCCATCCATCCATCCATCCATCCATCCATCCATCCATCTATCCATCCATCTATCCATCCATCCATCCATCCAACCATCCATCTATCCATCCATCTATCCATCCATCCA